CCCTCTGACATCAGAACCACTCTGGCTCCTGACCCCGCTTAGTGTCCAGAGCGAAGGTCTTCACGCTGAAGCCCGATGGCCCAGGTGGGGTTCCCGCAGGGCCGAGTAGACATGCTCAGTACAGTTCTGAGAATGTAACACAGAGGCAAGCTGCCTCATCTTTCTCCCCAGCCCCACATGCTTGGTGAGCAGCCCGGGGCGTAACCCAGCGCGCCCTCAGGGTTCCTGGGAGACAAAGATGAGAGGCCTAAGTGAAGACCTACTGGTGAGGGTCCCAGAAGATGAGGGTGTAGTCGGGCGCATAGAGGGCCCCTACATCCTTGCCCAACTTTCTCCCCCTGGGGTGGCAGATTAGCAGAGCTTCCTCCTTCCCCACCCCATCTGTGCATCCTCATCTGTCCCCTTCTGCCCTGGCCCCCACTTTGCCCTCCACCAGAGGCTGGTCCCAAGCTGCTGCCCTGGGAAGGGAAGGCTTCCCTTTCTGGTTTGTGCAGGAGGCTGAGCTGGGCCGTGAGAGCCAGGAGGCAGCATGGGAAAAGGAGCCCCTGTGGCTCAGTGAGGGGCCGTGGGGGGGGGGCGGGGCAGAGATTAGAGCTCCAAATTGGATGTGGAACGCTAGGCCATTGAGCTGAGTTCCCAAGGGGGGAGCAGCTTGTGTCTGAACATGGCCTGGCTACCTGCTGGGCTTAATCCCCTAGGAGCAGAGTCCCAGGACCCCTGGAAACACAGCTGCTATGGAGAGCAGGCTGACCCTGAGGCCGTGGCTGAGGGAACCAAAGAGCAGGGCCCAGGAGGCCCCACGCCATGGAGAAGGATGTGGGGCCAGGAGCTGTCCACACTGAGGGGGCGTGTTCTGTGAGTTCACAGTCAGGGTCCCCATGTACTCCATGGCCTGGGCAAATGTCACCCTAAAGATGAGCATGTTAGGGGCAGTGCCTGCCCCTGTGTCTCTCTGAGGTGTGAGGCCACCTTACAAAGAAATGAGGCCTGAGGATGACAACTGAGGTGGCTCCGAGGCCCTGGACTGAGGAAGTACAGATGGGTGCTGAGTGTGTGTGTGTGTGTGTGTGTGTGTGTGTGTGTGTGTGCGGCGCGCGCATGCATGCATACATGCATGCATGTGCGCTCGTGTGCGCACACCATCAAGTGATGTGCTTGAGGAAGGCCCTTCAGAGGCGGTTGGAGGGGCTCTGCAAATTGTAATCAGATTAAGGGGACCAATCACTTAGGGCTCTTGAAAAGGCCACAAGGTTTCTAATCAGCCCTGAGCTCTGGGCCCACAAAGCCCGGGAGGAACTCAGTGGGAGCCACCCACTGGGGGGCCTTGGGGTGGGGGCGCCTTTCTTCCCTTTCTGTCTCTGGTAATTATGTCAATTTGCTAGCCAAATTGTTTGCTTGAGTGGACAAGGGGGCTTGTGCCCCATTCATGTGGTAATGTGGGAACTGGCAGGCCTCCTGGCTGGGAAAATAGGAGGTTCTGGGACTCTTCTGGGAGCAGGCAGCTCAGAGGGTGTGGTGTGAGGCACCCTGGCCTCAGGTCTCCCCTCTGCCCTCCACCAGGGTGGGGGCCTTTCTTCCACAAATTCCATACATTTTCAGACAGGGCTGTGCTCTGCGATATTCCCTTGTGCCTGCCAGAACAAGGGGCGGGAAGCTTGTAAGGAGGCCGGAGAGGGGGCTGGACAGAAGAGATGGCCTATGGGGACTTCAGGATGAGTGGGCCCCTCGTGGGACAAGCCAAGGTTGGGAGGAGTTGGGGAGCTCTATGCGGCCCAAAGTGTGCGTCATACCAGCCCAGATGTGGTACACTTTCCACACTGTCCATCTGGAACCTCTCGGCCATCCAGGGAGGGAGGCTGTGGCCCTACCCTTTCCCAGAGGAAGAGATGGAGGCTCAGAGAAGGCAAGCGACTTGTCTAACAACACAGCTGGTGGTCAAGGGGCAGAGATCCGAATCCAGCACTCTGTTTCCTCAGTCCCATCTGCCCTGCCAACACCATGTGGGCTTATCCCTCCCCAGCCACCAAACAGGACTGACTGTGACCCAGCTCTGTCCTAGGCAGGAAGCATGCAACAAGGACGCGATGGCCCAGGGAACCTTAGTACTGGCATACAGTGGCGTGTGCTGCAGCCACTATCAGCACGAGCCTACAGACATGGGGAAGGGGCCAGGCACTGGTCACACAACACCTCCTGTGCAGCCCCTCAGCCCCACGGCCTAAGGCTGTGTTCTACAGTGTGATGTGCCAGCCTCGGTCTACCGCTGCCTACAGCCTGCCCATTCCTCCAGTCCCAGGAAAAATCTTAGAGGAGTAGCTGCCTCCTGACCTGCTCTGTTTTTCTTCATAGCATTTCTCAAGTCTGTGGTATTTTTGGTGTGGTTAATCAATAGCAAACCACCCCCCACCGCGCCCTCCCTCCCACGCACATAAGTTCCATGACAGTAAACCAGTGCCTGGGGAGGAGCAGTGCTAGGGAGTGAATGAGTGAGCGAGAAATGAATGAGTGACTTGTGGCCACAGGAGGAGGACAAGGTGGAGGACAGCAAGCTAAGAGCAGTTTCACAATTCATTAGGCTTTGCCAAGACTGGCGAAGGTGAGCAGCAGACAGTTGATGGGTGCAGGAAGGGCAGAGCAGAAGCGGAGTCCTGAGACGGGGTCAGGGTGCCCACCTGACCTCACCATCCACACTCAGCATTTCTCCTTGATCTGAGGGTGAGCTAAAAGACTAGAAGCCCATTTGCACCTACAAGAGTCACCTTACACTGCCACCTTATGTTCCAGAAAGTCCCATTTCTGGTTGAAGAAGAGAGTAGCCAGGGTGAGGGGTGTTGGCATGGCCGATCCGCGTGATAGGAAATGGGGCTGGGCAAGATCTTCCTAAACGCTGTGTGCAAGATCTCCCTCCTCGCCTCGCATGCTCACACACTTGAGCATGACTTCTTTGCCCTGCTCAGTCCTTCCCAAGTCCCTGAAGTAAAGCCACCATTAACAAAGCTTTAGGGGGTGGGTGCCACAGAAATTCACTCATAGTCTTTAAAGCAAAGCTATAAAGTTTAGGCCACAGGGCGGGGCCACATAAATTAAAAAACAAAAAGGCAAAATGCTCTTGTGGCCACCTGGCAGGCTGTTTGTCCAACACACCTGCTCTACCCTTCTTGCCTAATGACAAAATTGTAAGTGCACCTGTTGGCCTCATTCCTTAAAACTACATTTGTTAACAAACCCAGGGACAAGGGAACAACAAGCGATCCAAATTGGTGGGAGGTGGGTGTGGGAGACCTGGTAGGGCAGGATCAAGGGGAACATAACAAAGAGGAAGTGCTGAAATCCTGGTGGGGACTGAGCATGATAGTGGGACAGGAGGAGAATCAAGGGAAATAGA